GTTAAATTTTTTCGGGGGAGGGGGGTTTGGTGTGATGGTGAGGAGTGAAGGTGGGGTTTGTAGTATGTTGCGTGGTGTGGTTGGATGGAGTTGAAGCGTTAGATTGTTTGGTTTTTTTTTAAAGGGGTGACAGTGTTATAGATTGTGGTGAAGTAGGTCAATCGACGGTTACGAAGTAGATTGAGAGGATGATCAACGAGAATGGGAGTTGTTTGAGAGTGTGGGTGGTAGTATTTGTTATGGTAGGATGGTGTAATGTGTATGGGAGGGGGGGGGGGGGGGGGGGGCGTGTTGAGGGTTACACAGGCTGGTGTCATTGTCGACGAAAACGTGCTCCGGTAAAGCAAGAACTGCTCGGGCGGGCGTGTGGTGGTCGTCGGCACTAAACACCCGTGAACGGCAGCAGGGGGGGGTCGCCTCTCGGTTGTTCGAGGGGACGAGACATCAATCTAGGGGCTGCTGTGCATCTCACCCTCCGTCAAACCAATTAGAAACACAAAACAAAAGTCAAATACCCCACTCAAAATATATACGTCTCCGGTCTTGCCCACCATCCCACTCTTTATAAACCAATCATTTCAAAAGGATTATAAGTACTTGAAAGAGTTGAACACTCCCGTCATTATATCTACATTTCTCCGTTCTTGTCCAATCATCATCAGTCATCTTATCTCACCCTCCACAAAAACGCCGTCTGCGCGATCCTTCGATCTGACAACCGTTGGTCGGGCTCCGACGGCCGACCGTAGCGCTCGTCCTCGTGCTGGGAGGGGTTCGACCCGTGCAGCACGCGGGCAGCCGACAGGATATCCTTCGGGGGGTTGATCATGCTCCTCTTGCGCCAGAGCATGACCGCGAAGGCGACCGGGATCCCGATGGGATACACCTGTTGCCATGTGCCATGTACCACAAACAGCGCGGTGGAGGGCGGAGATGCGGAGTTACGGTGGTGGAGAGAGAAAAGAAAAAACGGCTTATAGGTATGACCTTTTGGCGGCAATAGAGCCACCTCATTTCCCTGTTAACCGCTTGCTGATACTCGAAAACACCAAGGGATATTCGAAGGGGGTGTCGTCGTGGCGGAGAGAGTACATCAACAAAAAAGGGGCAGGCCGGAAAAAATACGTGGCGGTGGTACTGTACCACATATTTCCGTGTCACCCGCGTTCAGATATTCGATAGAAACAACTCCGCCCCTTCTTTTACGAACTACCGTAGGTTGCAAAAGATATCACACCCCCTGGACCGATTTTGAAAGCTTGATGACTGTACGACGAAGATATGTCGAAATTGAAGTATACGTTTTCGGAAAGCTCTCTCTCGACGAGACGAGACGAGACGGATCCAACGCCTCCCGCCCTTTTCGGCACAGTTCAGCTCTTCCTACCGAGATAATCGAGCTTCGAAGATTGGTCCAGGGGGCGTGGTATCTTATGCAACCAACGGCACACATACCACGTATCGAGCGAGCGCCCTACTCCTAGCAGTCCCACCCAACCCCCAATCCAGCAAACTGGACAAGGCTTTCAGAACAAGTCGGTTTGCCACGGTGTTTTGTTTTGTTTTTCTTTCACGCCGGACCGTGGACATCTCCCTATCACAGTGGTTATATCGTTCTCGAGTTGTACAGCAGTGCAGCGGTACTCGACATGGGGCGGATTGTTCCGTGCCGTCCCAAGCACAGTACCGTCGCAACGGGGCAGGGCTTGTTAGAGCCAGACAAGGCAAGACATAACGGTGTTCTGTTCTCTTTTCCCCGTTGAGAAGTTCGCGTTGGCACCAGTATCATCAAGCCCGCGTACAGCTTGAAGGCCTTGTGCCGGTCGGAGTCGCAGTCAATGCCGTAGTCCGCACGGAGGTAGCTCTTGCCCACGTCCTCCAGCTCGTCGCAGCTGAACGTCTGGGACGGGTTTTTACCGTACCGTAACCGCAACAACAACGAACGACGCCGGTTCGTAAATGTTCTGGTTTCGACATTTTGAGACCAGTGTGACCTCAACCCACTACCCTCACTCTTCCGTTGGTCCAACGTGTCATATTTTGTGTGCGGACGATCCGTTCCATTTTTCATGTTCTTGGCGGGACCGACTGCCACCAGCGAACCGTCCCATTTCTCAACTTTTCGCGGGACGGACTGTCAACAAACTTGGTGAAGGGGAGGGCAACTATCGAGATACTAACCAAGAACAAGATGTGGGATGATGATCTTCGGTACGAGAAAAACGAAGGGGCACAGGAAAATCAAGGCAGTAGCATACACACACCCCCGCCTTCATCTGCTGACCCCCTGGGTCTCGGACGACGAAAGCAGGGCAACAGCACCACACCTGAAAGATGACAGTTGAGACCGTCGAGTACAGGAAGAAGGCCATCGTCAGAGCCACCGTCGTGTACTTGTCCTGCACCCTGCGCATGACGCCCTGGTCCGGTTCCGCGGTGTCGTTCTCCGACGAGGCGTTGGGTGAGGTGCGGAAGCTCGACATGGGGTAGATCGCCTGGTCGTCCGCCTCAAGGGGCCGCGGTTCCAGGCGGTGTTTTTTGCTGGAAAACCCAAGGGCAGGGGGGTACTTAGTTGATCGCTTAATATGTATTGTTTCTCTTCAAGAAGTCCCACCATCATCATCGGGGGTAGTACTCGGTTGATGGCATTTTTCTGTATTGTTGCTCTTGAAGCACCGTAGGTTGCAAAAGACATCACACACACCCTCGACCAATTTTCGATGCTCGGCATCTCGGCAGGAGAAGCAGCGACGGTGCCGAAAAATGGCGGGAGGCGTTGGAACCGTCTCGTCGAGAGATTTTCGAAAACGTGTACCTCAATTTCGGCATCCTCTTCGTCGTAGAGTAATCCAGCTTTCAAAATCGGTCCAGGGGGTGTGATATCTTATACCACCTACGGTAGTCAGATCACTGTTGTTGTTGTTGTTGTCTTCACGTTAAACAAACCGTTCCGATCTCTCTCTACCCAGTACCTTCGTATGCCCGTACTGATCCAACACTCGACGCGGTCAGATCATTACCATCGTCTCAAAGTTGGGGTCATCGCACACAACACGTTTAAGGGCATATATATTGAGGAAAATATGGATATATCCATTGTTGTAAATGTTTGTGCTGCCGACAGCTGACAAGACCCCTGAGCGGTTACATTAGTCCCTGCTTCCAGCCTCAGTTGGTCTTTCGTCGGGGGGAAGAAAAGCAAATAGCTTAGATGGTTTCGAAAGAGACGCGATGGTTCCATGAACCTCCCTCACCAGGTGTACAAGTACGTCGCGGCCAGCACGAGCAACACCATCAGCGGTCCGACTGTTGCCGCAATCAGATTGCCGTAGAAGTTAACCTAATGAAACCAGCAGCAGCAGCAGCGGTTCATTGGAGACGAAGACGGGTTGGCAACAGCGGCAGCAAAGAGGAACGGTACATTTCAACAACAACAACCACGACGACGACGACAACAACAACAACAACAACAACAACAACAACAACAACAACAAAAACAAAGTTTCAAAGCTGCTGGAGACCTCGGCTTACTCCACCCACATCATCAATCGTCTCGCACCAACAGCGCCTGACACCAAGCAGTCAAGACACCATCACCATCATCATCCAGCTCACATCCATAGGGCGGCAGCCCAACCATAGTACAGTAGAGGTGCCGGTATGTGCCCAGAAAAATTATCGGCAATTTTTACCGGACCGGCACTATTCAAAGTACTGAGAATGACTTGGAAATTCAGTGTGTGCCCGCCGAAAACGCAGGCACGATACCGGGCACCGACGCTATTCCAACTGCACTAAACAGGGACCTCTACCGTAACTCACATCGATGATGCACACGGACGTCAAGACCCACCCCAAATCCAGGTTGATGACACTGATGGTAGACAAGAAAGTCTGAAACACCGGTGCGAACTCGATCGACGTGATGGACGCGTACTGCGTTATGATCTGCGGATGCGAACACACGACAACAAAAAGAAGGGAACGAAAGATGTTTGCTTATGCATCGCAGGCGAAAAAAGGAATATTTGCAATCAATCGAATCATTGTACTTCGAGGGTCGAACGAGCCACAAAAGGGAACATGAATATGAAATAAGGACATGCGCGAATGAAAATTAATGAGTTGTTAGGCGCAGATGCTCACTACCTTTGAACTAATTTCATTTCGGCTTTAGTTCCTCGGGCATTGCTGTGAGACGAGCGACAGATCACACACACCAAAAAAAGCTCCAATCTCAACAGCACACGGAGCGTCGTCGGAATGGAACCGTCTCAAGATATTTCCGAAAACGTATCGCTTGACTTTGCCTTCAAAAACTCAGAATATATATAAAAAAAACACAAGATATTTTCTTGTCCCGGAAGGATGAATTACTTGTTGTCCAGGGGCAATCCACTATCATAAATCGGCCCAGGGCGTGTGATATATTGTGAAACCTACGGTTGCCGTTGACAACCTTTTCGGGTACCGAAGATGACACAAGAAACACACCATCTGGACCGATTTCAGAGCTCGATTACTCCACGACGAAGAGGATGCCTACAGGAAACGATACGTTTTCGGAAAGCTCTCGACCAGACGGCTTCAACGTCGCCACTTCGGTGCTACGACTCTTTCTGCTGATGATAAATCGAGCTTCGAAAATCGGTCCAGGGGGTGTGTTTTCTTGCGTCGCACGTGGTGAACATGACAACAAGAATGAACGTAAGTACGAAATCATAGGCGGTTTGCCGTCAAGAAATAATACAGAGGCGAGAAGGAAAAAAATCAAGGATGAAAACAAGAAGAACTGACAGGGAAGAATCCTTCAATAAAAAAAGGAGAACAATTAAACGACACTCATATGTACAACACGAAGGTCTGGATCAAATACGAAAAAAACGAGACGTCGACCGCATCAACCCAAAAACAAAGGTCTTGTGATTTCTTGTTCCTTCCATCGTACAAGAGCTGTAGTTCTGGGAGGCCGCACGCTAGCATACACACAACCCTGGCACACCAGAACCACAAACAGAGACCAAACAACAACACAAATCAAATAAAACCAATATACCTGGAGCACGACGAAGGGAATCTTGAGCTTGTGGAACGGAATGGTCCGTATCCTCCTCGACATCACCGAGAAGTGGGTCTCGCTGAGGTCGGTCAGAGCAGGATTCCCCACGAGATCGTTGAGGACGATCACCACCCCGACCACCAGCACCACGCCGGTCAGAGCCATCACCACCACCTTCATCGTCAATAACAGGTAACAGGTAACAGGAAGGGGTGGGTAGCGGACGATAGCTACCATTGGTATGTGCCAGTCCAAGGAACGGAGACATCACCAACACCACCAATGCCTCAACCAAGAGGGGGGGGGCGCCTTCCCGATAATTCTACTATTATTCTATGAAATAGAGGGGGGGGGGGGGGGGG